TAATATATTTAATAATATTATTTATTTAATATTTATTTAATATATTATTATTTAATATATTATTACATGTTTTCAAAAATTAAACCACCAAACGCAGTTTCAGTTTTTTTTAAAACTGAAATCAATCTCTAAATAAAACTACCAAACGCATTTTTAGAAATAATTCAAAAATGAAACTAAAAACGTTTTCATTTTCATTTTCGTACAGAAAATAAAAACGTTTTGGAACCAATTCCAAACGCACCCAACAGATACATATATAGAACCTTTATTTTTTTTTCAACTTTCTATTATTGTTTCATAAATACTGTTTTCATGAGTTTCAAAGTGCATATCACCCTTAAACCACTTGTTTACTTACCTTTAAACGATTGGTTTTTTTTTTTTTTTTTTTACTAGAGTTTGGAATCATTGGTTTACTTTTGATTAAACCACTTATGTATTTTAGATTAAATAGCTATTTATTTTAGATTACAACACAAATTCTAAAATTAAAATAGAAAATTAAGTAAATCAGTTGTTTACTTTTAATTAAACTATTGATTTACTTTGATCAACATATGACAAACCACTTTAAACCACAAATTCGGATCAACAACAACAGCAAATGAAAAAAAAAGAGGAAAAACTTAAATCTTCAACCCAAACTAACAAAAATTCAAACCCTAATCAACAATAGCGATGGGGGCGAAAATCATTGTGGCAGTTGTTTTTGGAGTGAGCTTGGAGTTATAGGGGGCGCTTGGTAGATGGATTCAGAATATTTTGGATCATGATTCAGAATTAGTGTTTGTTTACAGTGATTCTGAATCAGTATTTAGTTTGGATGATTTAGAATCATGATTCATAATCTGATGTGATGTTTTAAACCAGAATCACAAACCACCTCCTTCTTGATTCAAGGTAATTCAAACCCTAAATTCTGAATAATCATGATATGAACCTAAAATTATGATTAGAATCACATTGATTTGAATCATCGTACCAAACGAACCCATAGTGTCCTAACCAAATCCATGCAGCATCATTATTTGCTACCATGCACTCCGTCATAGCTTTCGAGAGTCTTATTGTCGCTACCACTGGACTCCGGCATCACACAATGTCGGGGAATGTCGGGGATCTCACGGATATTTATGCAACTCAAGTGTAATGACAATATGGATCTCCTCATGATATTTGCATGACAAATTTGTGTAATGACATCAATGATCTCCACGTGAGATATTCCCAATTCCAGTATTGCCACACCAAGGATATCTCCTCACGAGATGCATGACCTCGACGGCGCGTCAACAACGTTAATCAATCTCTTACTTGCCGGTGGCAATATGGCGAGAGGAAAGACGATTATTGACAACATTACGGAGGAAGGAAAACTTGGTGATAAAGTGCAATGACGACAAACGAATTCGACAATGAAGTTAAGAAAGATAAAATATATAAGAATAAAAGTTTTTATTCCTGAAAGAGAGAGATGGTAAAAGATGAAACTTAATGGACGTTTGGAAGAGAGATTCGTGTCATGATTCGAATCATGGTTCGTGGTTCGTTACAATATTTTTTCTCATAAAAAATATACGTAAAACGAAAATAATTCTGAATCCATGAACCAAACGTCCCCTTAACAAATATTTGAGTGTTTTATCGTTTTTAAATAGTATTTTGCATACTTTCATAAGATATGTAGTGGTATATTTAAATCCCATTTTCACAAAAAGTGGTTTCTACAATGCTTTTAGCACTATCACCCCTAAACCTTTTTGCACTTTGACAATTTATCACTTTAATTTCTAATTTTGATTATTAACTTTGAATATTTTAAAACGTCACAATTTGGTCAATTTAATGATGTCATATAGATTGTGATGGAAATATCCACGTGCATGCCAAATTTTTTGCACTTTCTCTCTTTAACTTTTTGTGCTCTGCCAATTGTCTCTTAAATTTTTAATTTTGACAATTAAACAGCTGTATTTTCATCATCAATTTAAATCACATTATCAATTTAGGTCACATTGATTAATGATTGATTTAATTGTCAAGATAAAGATACATGCGACAATTTGTCAAAGTACTTAAGTACAATGGAGTAAACTGCAAAACTCTTCCACAAATTCAACAGTCAGCCGAGCTCATTAACAGCCCAAGAACAACGGGTCGAATATCTCTGGCGAGGGAGGGCTCTGAACAAAATAAAGAATTTACTTTGAGTGAGTGTATGAGCCAAAATTTTTATTTTTTATATTTAAGTAATGTTTGTTTTAAGAATTTTATTTGATTTTTCTTTCGTAAAAATTTTAAATTTTAAAAATTAAAATCATAAATTATAGTTCTAAATTTATAAATTAAATGTCACTTTAATAAATATTTTTTATTAATGTAATTATTTAATTAAAAAAATATGAATTAAAGAGTAAAAAAGGTTCTGAATCATGAATTCAAAACTATTTTCAATTTATGACTTAGTTTGGTAGAGATTTTGGGAGCCCAATATGAATCTTTTACTTAGTTAAAGTTATTTTTTGTGTTTAGTAAAAGACTCAAAAAAATACTTCTTAAATAATTTGTGTGAAATTTGAGCTCAAAATAAGAAGCAGCTCAAAAGTTATTTTCGATTCTAGATTGTGCGGGTATCCGCCCCGTTTCATTTAATAAAAATTTCATTAATTCCCAAACTATCCCATTTATCTGCCTTCCTCCAAAATTTTTCTGCAACCATGAAAGAAACTATCCTCATTCTCTCATGGCCATTCTTCTCTCCCTTTCTCCCCCCAACCCCGTCTTCCCCAAAATCCCTTCTTTGCTCACTCCAAACCCTAATTCCACATTCTTCTCCATCACCACCACCTCCAGACGACATTTGATTCTCAAAATCACTTCTATGTTCGTCATCTCCTTTGCACCGCAACAGTTTCGCTAACCCACTCTTCTGAACAAGCTCCGGCTCCGGCTCCGGCGAAACCCTCGCTCTCTGGCATCGTCAACACCAAATCCTAGTTCCAGTTCGTCGGCGATGGCTTTGCCATTCGGGTCCCTCCTCAGTTCGAGGACATTATGGAGCCCGAGGTACTTCGATCGTTATGATCTTTTTGTGTTTTGTTTTCCAATTTTTGTTGTTCTTCAATTGAAAATTTATTTTCTTTTTTCTCGGCGAAAATAAAAGTTCAGTTCTTTCTGGTAAAAATGGTAAGATTTTGTCATGTTAAAGAGTTAAGTTCATGCATTTCACTGTTCCAGATACAACGAGCTTTTTATTTGTTTTTTGTTGTTTCTTTCTGCTTTTAGCTCCACAAAGTTTTGCAATTTACGATTTGCTTTCTTTTTTCCTGCCATTTATAGGATTTCGATGCTGGGTTGTCTCTGTACAGAGATGAGGCAAAGCCCAAGACTTTTGCAGCTCGTTTTGCATCTCCTGATGGGTATGTAATTCTTATGAATTTTCCCTAATCTTCGTTTTTCTTAATCAAGTGTAAATGGAATGCTTTAAATCTTAGCTTTTACGTGAAAACGTTGCCCCACGTTGAGCAAAGGAAAGAAAGAAAAGGAGAAGTTTTGATGAGATATTTTTTGATAGTTTGGTGGAGATCAACCTTAGTTAGTATTCTGTCTGCGTTAGTTTCTTTTCTTCTATAAGTTTTGTCCTATATGTTATCTGAGGCTTAATTTTGGACGTTATATGTTTATTATTTTTTGTTTTCTTGTCCACGTTCTTTGATACAGATCTGAGGTTTTAAGTGTCATAGTTCGTCCTACCAATCAACTCAAAATTACATTTTTAGAGGCCAAAGACGTAACGGATTTAGGTTCCTTGAAAGAAGCTGCTAGAATCTTTATTCCAAGTATATAAAGGTTGAATTCTGGTTCTGATATTTTCTCACACCATAAATCTTTGGTCTAATTTACCTTTCTGGTTGGTCTTAGTCTAAGACGAATTTACATGCTTTTTCCCCATTGTTCATCTTGGCTCTTCCTTCTGTTCTATTGGCTTTTGTTCGTAATTTCGACCAATGTGACGATGGCATGTGGGGCAACTTTATATTCTGCCCGGACACTAAAAATAAAGGAAGAAGAAGGCTACAGGTAAATTCACCAATTCATGTGTTGAAACGATCATGTTTTTTAAGCGTTTCTAGTTAAATAAGAATGTCCTGTCCTAGGCACAATAATAATCACGAAAAACTAGGCTTACCTATCTCACATAAGTACGTAACTGTATAACCATATCTAACTTGTTATCTGGAGATGCCTGTCGGGACTTCCTTCTTGATCTCTATGGTTTCCTTTTACTTGAGATTTTTCTGGTTATCTACGTTGAGTAACAATTTATGTTTGTTTTACCTCTCATTCAATGTGTTGCTCATATGTTGATATGTTTCAGGACTTATTACTTCTATGAATTTGGCCGAGGTGATCAGCATGTTGCACTGGTTGCTGCTGTTAATAGTGGGAAGGTTTGTATTCATCGTTCATGTGCATTGTAGTGTAGAAACACTAGTCAATTTTCTGCCAACATTAGATTAGATTGACTTGTATTCTATGGTTCTTGTCAAGAACACTGGATAAACCAGTCTATAACAAGCATATATGCTACGAGTTTTTACTAAATCCTTGTGCTAAAATGGCAAGATCCTGCCTCCTGGTTCACAATCTGTCCTTTCCAAATTTAGTCTAATGTATCTAGTTATCCCCTTGATCCGTGTGTGTAATAAAGTAATCATTTCTACTTGTTTATTGTGAAGGCAATTATTGCTGGAGCAACTGCCCCGCAGTCCAAATGGGATGATGACGGCATGAAGCTTCGTTCTGCTGCCAACATTGATGTATGTTTGTTTGTTCACTGAGAAGAGTGATGTTTGTAATATAATTTTTACATGTCACCCATTTATGTGTTTTTATTTCAATAGGTAATATTATTTAGTTGACGCGGGATATCTACAATTGAAAAGATTTCTTAGACCATATAAAGGAGAAAAATACCATTTATCACAATTTTGAGTGGGTCTTCGATCATATAATGCTCTTCTATGCATGTGTCGAGAACATGACAATTGCTAAGGCCATGTAGATTTATCACCATTTTGTGGAGTTCGAAAGTCTCAAAGTCAGTGTTAGGTGACAAGTAATCTAGTCAGTATTATCTGCAGTTTGTCTCATTTATTCTTTTACGTCGTTGACATGGCCTCAAGTCTCATACTCTTTGAGGTGGATCCAGATGGTATCGTTTATGAAGACAATCAACTTGAAGATAATGTAGAAGAAAATTAAAATACTAGTTTTTTATTATCACAAAAAATGGATGAAGTATGAGATCAAATTGCGACAAGTTTAATGAATATGATTTAATTCTTTTAATGACTGTCAATTTTTGAAAATGGAATGTACATTTTTGTTCAACAAATTGATTACTCACTAATGCTCTTTTTAGTTGTAACTATATTGTGAATAAATAAATGAAAAAAAAATTAATTATCATAAATTTATTGTTAAAAAACTCAAAATTATAGCATTATGTTTTTTTAAGTTAAACAAATATTTTTAAATACAAAGAATAATTATATATATTTAAGTTTCATACAATATTTATTTTGGTCATTTTACATATCCACAGTAATTCAACATCAAAATTTACCAAACGCTATTACATTGATTTTGAAATTAGTACATCTACTATAATTACAGTTTACTAAACACTCAGCTGCTTCTTGTAACATCGCTTCTTCCTTTAGCACAGTTAAAAGTAATTTTTTTAAAATTTACAGCATTACCAAACTAAGCCTATATCTGTTTTTTATGAAAAAAAATACTGTAATAAATCACGAACAATGATTCAAAATATAACACGAATTTTCGTGCGAAACACCCCATGAAATTCCTTACCCATACATTTGAAAGGTATTTACGAAGGTTACCCTTTGCTCTTCCATTTGCGAATTGAGACAATTCACGAGCAGCTCTCCCTCCTTACACCTCTGCCATTAACGTCGGAGATCTGAGCGAATCCAAATCCCGAGCGAGTCACGCCACAGCCGAGTCGTCTCAGTCGGAGCTGGTCACTCCGGCCATCGAATCCGAGCGAAGGAGCGGGTTTTGCCGCCAATTGAGGTGATCGGAGCGGCGAAAAATGGCGGATCCGGCGAAAACGCCACTCGGCAAAATGCTATTGGACGAAATCAATCCGGTCGTCATGGTCCTCGATACGCCTCTCGTCGAAGAAACTTGCCGTAAGAATGGCCTCAGCTTCGTCGAGATGCTCAGTCCCTTCTGCGTCTTCAACAACATCGACGGTGAAGTTTTCCTTTCATTTCTATAGATAGATATATATATATATATATATATATAATATGTGCATATATAGTGTGTAAGTGTTTCTAGGGTTTCGAAATGGCGAAATTTGAGACAGTTGGGTTTGATTCCGTTGCAGTACCTGTACGAACAGCTAGTGATCAACCTTATAGGCTTCAGAAGTTCAGATTACGATTGTTCTACGCGTCGGATATTCGGCAACCGAATTTGGAGGTAAATCAAGGAATGTTTGTGTGAAATTCAAGGAAATGATCAGAAAAGGAACCAAAAACCTTCACCTTTTTTTTTTCTTTTTTTTTTTGCGACAATTACTTCACTTTTTGGCAATGAAGAGGCGTCTTCAAAATGATCACCATTTAGGTTTTATTACCAGTTACCTCAATTTTTCTAGCAATCAAATCGTTTGACGATTTAGACTTTTGAGGTTTTTGATTGTGTTACTAAAGTATTACTTTGAAACATTTAGAGCACATAGCCAAAAAAAAAAAAAAAAAAAAAAAAAATCTTTACCTGAAATAGTCATGATTTCAAGTTGTTAATTGTGTATATCTGTACAAGATCTTAAAGTTTTCATGATCATTGTACCAGTGTCATTATTTATTTGGAGTTTATTGGACTGTCAGTAAGGAATGAAGAAAATAGATCGTTCATGTTTAGGTGCACATTACTTATTGCAAAACCACAGTTGTTTCTTTAGTTGTGTGAATCTGCTATGTTCTTTTCTTATCAATTGTTATCCTAGTCTGAATTTGAGATTGTGTTTTCTTTTTGAAACAAGGTAGCAAGAGAGCGGTTGAAACAGGTTATTACCCAAGCTGGGGAGAACGGTGATTCTGAACTGTGTTCAGATCCTCCTCCAATAGAGAATTTAGATGCTAGTAAGTATTGTATTTTCTTTATAAATTCTTCGAAACATTTGTACTTGTTCAAAGTTATGCTAGTGCCTAGCAGACTATATGATTTTAGGCTGCTAGATTTACTGTGATTCTCTCGGCCTCTTACTCTTACAAAAGTTTTCTTGTATCTTGTTTCTAACTTCTGTGATTAGCTAATTCACTACTGATGAAAAGCAAAGCAAGAATGCAAATTAAAAAAAAAAGTTTAGAAAATATCAAGTTACTGCAAATTAGCACCAAACAATAATAGTGTTTAAAAAGTTAAAAGTTGATCTCCAGATCACAACCATGCTAGGAAATGGGCTTTCCTGGATCTGGCCCCCTAGAAAGGTTTTCATTCCAGCTCTCGGGGTTGTCGGAGATCACTAGGAGAGATAAGAATATATTAACAAATTAAGTAATAGAATTTTTGGGGTATATGGTTGGAAAGGAATAATATAATTTTTGAGGATCAAGGGGAGGATGAGTCTGTTCTTTGGGATAAATAAAGTATTGGGGTGCCGTTGTGGGTTTATAGGGATTAAGAGTTTGAAAAGTGCCTATTTTCGGAATTTGCTAGGAGTTGGGCCCCTTTCTTATAGTCCTGCCCTAATTGTTTAGTCTGGTCTGATTGATTTTGTTTTGTTTGTCCTGTATTTTTGGAACTGGATTGTTGTGGAGGATAACTCTTCCTCTTCATCCTTTGTTCCCTTTTTCTTCATTAATAATGGTTTTGTTTCTTTTCAAAAAAAAAAAAAAAGAGAGAATATATTGACAAATATCTTTTGTACTCTTTCATATTGTGAAATGACAACTTTTATCACTGAAATTTACATTTGAATTACATTACAAGATTGAAGGAGAAAAGGAGTATAAAAACATGAGTATATGAATGCTTGCGTTCTTGGATGTCTGTAGCAATTAGTTTTTTTCCCTCAAAAAAAAAAAAGAGGAAAAAATGAATAAACAAATAGAAGGAGAGAGAGCTATAGTGGCCATGTGGCAGCAGGTAATCTTGCATCCACTGTACCATTTAAAATTTAATGGCTGAGAATGAAAGCTGAATTAAAAAAGGGAAATATGGGAGCTTAGGTTTATACTCAACTCTCTGTTTTTATTTCCAATTGGCATTTCGATGAATTATTATAATGTTGGAACGTTTATAGTTTTTAGTTGGTGATAGATGTCAACCTTTCTTTTCAGGGTTTGAATCTGAAAATCTACCATCATGGTTTGCTTTTTTTAATAAAGAGCTTGTACGCAGTGCCTCCTTTTCAGACCATGAAGCTTTTGACCATCCTGTGGCATGTAAGGTGTTGAAACTTAATATATATTCTACGTTAGTCTTTTGACTATAATTGCGAGGCTCAGTTGTTGTGAATCCTAATATTAACTGTAGTTATCCAAATTTTTTTGATTTAGCTCTACCTTTTTGTCTGAATCTATTGCAGGTCTTTTGGTTGTTTCTTCGAAGGATGAACAACCTATCAACCAGTTTGTTGATCTCTTCAACACCAACAAATTGCCCTCTCTTCTAAATGATGGTGCAATGGACCCAAAGATTTTAAACTATTATTTATTGGTGCACGACAATCAAGATGGCACTACTGACAAGTATAACATCCTTTCCGATATTTCTGGAAATTCAGTATCTTAATATAGGATCATAGTTATAACTTATAAGTAAAATTTATTCCAACAGTTAAAATTTCATGCTAAAAATCACTTTTTTTTTTTGTTTTGTTTTTGTTTTTTTTGTTTTGTTTTGTTTTTTTTTTTTTAAGAAACGGAGAACCTTTTATTAATGAGAAAAACCAATACAAGGCTGAAGAGGATGAGAAATCCTCCAGAAAAAGGAGAAAACAGAATAAACCGAAAAAAAAACAGGGTAAGCAAAAATAAATCGCCAAACAATGACAAGGCCCAAAATGCAGGAAACTAAACACAACGATCCATAATCAAACCCCTAAAATCCAAAATGTCCATCCAGTTCATCAGAAGTGACATCCAGACTCAAACCCCTAAAAATCCATTCTTTTTCAGTTTTCAAAAAAAAAAAAAAAAGGTCGGATTTATTGGTGTCTTCATTATAAGAATATCCCTTGTAATTGGAAAGTTCGTGGTAATGTTGTTTGCTACTCCGTACTTTTTTTGTCCAGATGATATTTTGCTTACTCTTTAGCATTTAGCATTTCTCTTTTTACGATTATATATATTCAATGTCATTTGAATGGAATACAATATGATAATACTTGGGCTTTATCCTCACAGGGCAACAAAGATTTTAACAGAAATGAGGAGCACCTTTGGCTCTGACTGTCAATTACTTTGCATTAATTCTTCTGAAGATGGTCCGGTTGAACATCAAGATAATCCTTGGGTGCGTTATGTAAGTTATTTTTAAGTACTTTCGTTTGCCATATATTATTTCTTTATATTAATAAATATTGTTTTGTCATCTATGAATGTTAAATCTTGCTGTTATCGTTTTTAGTTAATAGACAAAGTTAAGTTAAGGATGTATCTGTCTTTACCCTAATGACAGAAATCTGAGACTTCTTCTGGTCAGAATCTTGGTTCCTTCCTCAATGTTAATGATATTAATGAGGTGAATTCCTTTGTCATCATATTTTCGTGCAATAAAAAGGTTGCATAATATTGATGATTCAAAAAAAAAAATTTCCTGCTTACTTCAGAATTTTGACCGTAATATGCAATTTTTACATCTGGGAACAGATGAGAGATATCATGCAAGAGTTATCAACCAAACAGATCATCCCTTGCATGGAGCAAAAGATACGCGTGCTCAATCAACAGGTTAGTATTTCCATCATATTTCCTGGCATTCATGGTTATGGGAATATCGTATATTAATGTGTGACTCTTCTGAGTCTTTTTGACTGAATGTAAAAGGAGAATTGTTCCGAGTCTTATGATCCTTTTGTTTTCTTGTTTGTTCTCCATTTCATATCCTTTTCCAAACCAGGTTTCTGCAACAAGGAAGGGTTTTAAAAACCAAATTAAAAGCTTGTGGTGGAGAAAAGGGAAAGACGAAATAGCAGATTCTTCCAATGGTTCTATGTATGCTAAACATGTACTTGTTACAGCAAGCTTGTAATTCTCCAGCCTTTTTCTAATTTGGTTTCTATATTTGCTGTTAAAGGTACACATTTAGCTCCGTTGAATCTCAGATTAGAGTGTTGGGTGATTATGCCTTCATGCTACGGGATTATGAACTTGCATTGTCGAACTATCGCTTAATTTCCACAGATTACAAGCTTGATAAAGCATGGAAGCGCTATGCTGGTGTACAGGTAGTTGGAGGTTGTTTGTTTTATTTTTTTATTTTTATTTTTTTAAGAATTTTGTGCATTGTGTTTTAGGTTAATTTGGATCATGATTTTCAGCATTTAGGCTAAAATGTACTTTGTTATTCGGTTTGTTTAAATGATTTTTTTTTAAAATATATTCTCAGCCTTATTTATTTGCTGTCAGTTCCTTTTTTTTTTCCAAAAAAAAAAAAAATTTTTTTTTGTTTCTTATATAATCCTTGTCATTTTTACTTGTCTTCTTAACTTAACGTTTCTTTCATTTTGCTAATCTCTAATTTGGTGATCGAATAGTATTTATATATGGGGAGGGCCTCACACGTAATGGCCTTTGAGAGTTTTTCGCTTTTTATTGCAGGAAATGATGGGCCTTTCATATTTCTTGCTAGATCAATCGAGAAAGGAAGCAGAGTATTGTTTGGAAAATGCATTTACTACTTATTTGGTGTGTATTTGTTTACCTTCAATTTTCTATTTTAGTGACTTTTATTTAAGGCTTCATGGCTAAATATTCATAGAGATAACGATAAAGACTTCTATACACCTTTTATTACTAATTAAGAAAGGTCTCTTGTGTGTGTGTGTGTAACGATCAAGACTTCATTTTCGACCCTTTTGTCAAAATTAATATCTGTTAGTATCAAGAATGAATATCCATAATTCCATATACAAGATTGATGAGATATACCAAAAAAAATAAAAGAATAAAAAAAAAAGAATACTGAAAATCTTGAAAACTGCCTAGACAAAAAAGGAAGGCCAAGACTCAGAAAACATACCATTAAATATCCTCCGAAGAGGTCTATTTTTACCTATTGAGTACTCTGCAACTCTATTAAATCTTTTTTATTTTTATTTTTATTTTTTTTGTCCTTTTCTCCCTGGCAAATGTGTTTATTTTGAATTGGTATTTGTGCAGAAAATTGGGCCATCTGGTCAGCAGAATGCAACACGTTGTGGTCTTTGGTGGGTAGAAATGTTGAAGACAAGATATCAATTTAGAGAGGCTGCTTCTGTATACTTTCGTATTTGTGGCGAGGTAATGCACGATCCCTTTAAAATGTCAATGTACGAGAAAAAGTTTACTCCTTCTGACAAACAATGATTTTTAGGAACCTTTACATTCTGCTGTAATGCTTGAGCAAGCGTCTTATTGCTACTTGTTGTCCACGCCACCTATGCTACACAAATATGGATTTCATCTTGTTCTTTCTGGCGAGCGTTACAAAAAAAGTGATCAGGTACTTTTACCAATAAAGATATGCAGAAGTAAGCTAGAAAGGTTGCATTTTCCGACAACTCACCTACGTTTTCTTCTCCAGATTAAACATGCAATTCGTACATACAAAAATGCCATCTCTGTTTACAAAGAAGCTACATGGAGTCATATCAAGGACCATATCTATTTTAACATTGGACAGTAAGTTAATATCGACTTGATGCTTCTCTAGTTTCCGAGTTTACCTTTACAGGCGTTCTTTTTAGAAAACCTACAAGTTGCAAAGCCTCTGATAAAATTTATTTGGTTCAGATGGTATGCTTATCTTGGAAGATATGACTTGGCCGTCTCACATGTGTTGGAGGTCCTGGCCTGTAGTCATCAGTCCAAGACATCGCAGGACATATTCCTGAGGCAATTTCTTCAAATTGTTCAGGTGACACTGGAGCTAGGTTTTATTTATTTATTTTAATTTGTTTTAAACTTTATAAAACAGTTTGTAAGCACTAATCAGGTGTGTTAATCTCAATAAAAAATCAATTTGCCAACCCTCGACTTAATTTTATTCTGGCATGATTCCTTCGCACTGACCTCCACTCATCTGATTTGCTCATACCATGTTTTTCTAATTTTCATATGGTTCCTATGAAATATAGGAATATAATTAGTCTATCCTATTTCATCAGTTTCCCTATATTAATACGTAGAAAGGATGCAACTGCACTTGTGACAATAAAAACGGTGTCATACTGCAAAATTCAACTCTTATGTTCTAGTTGGTTATAGCATCGGGCTTCTGTGAAATCTGAGTTTTACCCATAAGTAACTTAAATCTTACACAAGCTGATGCCGAAGTTAACTGGATGTTTTCTCTCTCTATGTTCAATAATACAGAAAACGGGAAGGATATTTGAAGTTCCAAAACTTCAATTGCCTGAGATTAAAATCTCTTCCCTTAGGGTCATTTTTGAAGATCACCGAACATATGCAACGCCTGCCGTGGTAAGTTATATTAAATTGCTTTTGGTGTTGCTCTGCACACTTGTATATATTGCTTCTTATAGGGTACTGCACTATTAGCATCAGTACAAACATTCTGTCGTTTAGAGTTCGGACTTTGCTTTGTGTCTTATATGTTGATGTATTTGTTTTTCGAGGACATTCCAGGCCAGTGTTAAAGAAAGCATATGGCGTTCTCTAGAAGAGGATTTGATTCCATCATTGTCTACTGGCAGGACTAATTGGTTGGAGTTGCACTCAAAGCTTGTCGCCAAAACGTATAAAGAATCAAATGTTTGTGTTGCAGGGGGTATGTAGATAATAGCATATTGGTCATAGCTGTATGAATTAAGTTCTTGGAGTTTATTAATTTTTCTTTATAATTCTTTGTCGACATCGATGTATGGATAGTACCAATTATTTACCGTTGGATCCTTGCAACAAAAATGAGATCATTCAGAAGAGATAAAAATATATTGGTTCATTCACTGCAAACATCACCCACCTTCCCCACGGCCTTTCCCATTCTCAGCGGACTTCTTCTCTTTCTCTTGTCACATCTTGAAAGTACATTGAATATTGGTCTCTTGATAGACTGATTAGGTTTCGTATCCTGCTTTTAGATAGGGCCTTTAATAATCTTAGCACATGAGCAACTCTTGTCTTTTGATTTGTTCCATTGACTTGAACAAGTTATTTGTACAAAGATGTGTTTTTGTCTGTATGCATTGTAATATGCTTCATCCTTTTGCAGAAGCGGTAAGAGTTGATTTTGAAATTAAGAACCCTTTACAAATTCCCATATCCGTGTCTAGTGTCTCCTTGATATGTGAGCTTGCTGCAAGTTCCGATGAAACACAAACTGGTAAGTAAAATTTTATATTTGCCTTTGTGTGTCGATGCCTCAACCTTTTCAAATTTTTCTATTTTTTTTTTCTTTTCCAAGATTAAGGATTGACAAATCTGTAATGCAGATGCAAATAGCCAAGCTGGGAAGCTTCAAAATGATAATGAATTAACTATGACAACCAGTAGGTATGTATGTCCACTTGAGTATCGAGTCTTTTTCTTGTTAGCGTGCTTCTATCTTATTTGTTCCACTTTCTTTCCTATCATCTTTGCCTGTTGTGCTAACATTCTACTTTGATTATTGCAGGGAAAGTGATAATAACTCTTTCTTAACTTTGTCGAAGGTTGACTTTTCATTAGGAGGAGGTGAAGTAGTCATGGTGAGTGCTGCGCTGTTGACAATGGAATAAACATCAATTTTCATTGTTATTTTTTTCATGTTTGCTGCTAAATTTTTTTTAGGATGAACTGCATTTATACCCCTTCAGTTATGTTAAAATTACAGGGACACCCCCTTACCAAAAGTATTAACGTCGTCATGTCCGAAAAATATAAGTTATATATTTATTTTCTTGTTGGGCTTCGAGTGGTAACCTTTACTGCCCCCCACCCAGAAGGAGAAAAAAAGGAGTTAAAAGGATGTTAGCGAGCATAATTCATTTTTGCTTATGTCATATTTTACCAGCATCTTGTTTACAAATACTATTTTTCAATCATCCATTGATAGCTCTTATTTGCTTTTCAGGTGCAACTTACTGTTACTCCTAGAATAGAAGGCATTTTACAGATTGTTGGTGTAAGGTGGAACTTGTCAAGTGCTGTTGTTGGTTTCCATAATTTTGAGTCTAATCCTAGGAGGAAGAAAAGTGCAAAGGGAAGACAGAGAGGCAACCGCTCTCTTAGTGACAATCTGAAGTTTGTGGTGATCAAGGTGCGTGCTCTCTCTAAATCTCAACCCTCTTCTATAACCCCTCCCTCCACCAAAATAATGAAAAAATTTGGACTTTATGCAGAACTAATGTAGATTAACTTTACATTTTCTGCATTCTTTTCAATGTTCAGAGTCTACCCAAACTCGAGGGCTTTATTCAGCCTTTACCTACAAGTACGTATGCTGGGGATGTACGCCATCTTGTTCTGGAGTTGAGGAACCAATCAGAATGCACCGTTAAGGTACAGCTGCAGCTTAATGTCCTAATTTTCATGTATTTCTCAACATGCTGCATATGTAACGTATACATGTATTCATACCAACCCATTTGAGTTGGCAGGAATGCCTCTTGACTTGATTGTTCAGGAAGTTGTCATATTGACCTTTATTACAATTGGCCTTTCTTTTCTTTATCTTATAGTTTTCAATTCTTTGCTGGGAGAGTGATTTGGACATCTCATTGCTTATATTTTATGTTACTGCTATCTAGCTACTTTTCTTTAACGCAGCACTTACACATGCACAAGCTTGCCTGTATTTATATTGGCTAGTAGCTTATTTTTGGTGTGCATTCTATCGAGTATGTATCTCTTGTCATTGTGAGCTTAGCCAGTTTATAATGTGATATTCTTTCAGAACTTGAAATTAAAGGTCAGTCATCCGAGATTTTTGAATGTGGGCAGTCAGGAAAGTTTGGATGCAGACTTTCCTGCTTGCTTGGAAAAGAGGACTGAACACCACTACGTACAACCTGATCATAATAACATATCTCAACCTGTTTTTATATTTCCAGAGGTTAGTATCTATTTCTCCCGTGTTCTCTTGCCAACAATGTCATATCACGAATCACAACCATGTCTGATCTTGTGTGTTTCTTCTCCCTATGTTGCAGGACACAATTATCACAGCGGAAACACCATTGTTGTGGCCTCTTTGGTTTCGGGCTGCTGTTCCCGGAAACATTTCCCTGTATTTAACCATATATTATGAGATAGAAGATTCATCAAGCAGTATGAGATACCGCACTCTCCGCATGCATCATAACGTGCAGGTATTTCGATGTAGTACTAAAGATATAAATATCAGAACCCGAATTATTTAGTAACCACATTCTAACATGGATTCTAGAAATGGTTAGTCATCCTCTTCAGTTGATATGATGGATCTATGTGCTTGTTGAAGATATCTTGTCTTCATCAATTTTTGAAAGATTTTGATTGTTTTCCTATTTTCAAGTCTTGTATATCATAGTGTTCTGATATGCTAATGTCTTAATCAACCTTCTCTTGTTGACTATCTTGTTGACTACATGTGCAAAACACTATACGATAAACCTAATTGGAGCTGATATTGTAAATTCATCTTTTTAGGTGCTACCATCATTAGGCATCTCGTTCCAAGTCAGTCCTTGCCCATCAAAATTGGAAGAGTTCCTTGTGCAAATGGATGTCGTTAACAGGACAAGTACAAAGAGCTTCCAGGTACATCAGTTAGCTTCTGTGGGAGAACAATGGGAAATCTCATTGCTTGAGCCTGTTGATACTATCTTACCTTCTCAGTGTCTAGTTGCGGGTCAATCCTTGTCATGCTTTTTCATGCTTAAGGTTGGTACTGAAGCTCCATGTTTTGGGTTCCTTTACATGCTGCAAGGTGGTGTTGATTTTAGCTGATAAAGTCACTTCTTTGGTCTTAAGAATCAGAGGAAATCGGGAATTTCGGAGAACAAGACGTCTTCTACTTCAGTACCCCTTGGAAGTGTTGTAAGATTGGGACCTGAGGGCAGTACTGAACCGCTTTTTGATACATCTAGCTCTCCGCTAGTTGATTTCCACCGTAATGAAAGACTGCACCAGGAAATTTCACATCAGGTTTATCAATTTATGAATCTACAATTTTCTTTTCTTTTTTGAGTAGAAGATTCATTCAATCATTATCACTCTCTTGATCAATACTTCGAGTCTGAAATCTGATTCCTATTCTGGTCATGCTTGATTTTGAAGGTTATTAATATATGTGTAAGGTGTAACATTAAAGGATCGGTTGCTTTGGCATTTAGTTAATAAAAAAATGCAATATGAGCGACTAAATTTTGTTGATGATCTTTTGTCGTAGAAGAGTCTTCTTATTTTTGTACAATTATGTTGGCTTCCATCCTTTTGATTGTGTACAATATACTGAGCATGCATTTTGTGTGGATCAGGGAGACTCAACAGTTGACTTCATATTGATCTCTCGGTCGCTAAAGAGTGATCTTGATTCAGGGACATCTGATCCACCGCAGCTTTTTTCTCATCATTCATGTCATTGCAGGCAAGTTCCCGTTCCAAAATTGAAGATTTGATTATAAATCTAAAACTTCTGTGTGTGTTCTCTCTCTCTCTCTCTCTCCATGAAATCTTTTGGGCCCGTTTGGTAATGTTTTCAAAATGATTTTGTTTTTCATACAAAAGTAAAAATGAGATTGTTTTAAGAATAATTCTGAGACCAATTCTGAAATTGCGTTTGGTTTGTTTTTTAAAAGATTGTTTTGAGTATAATAAAAAAGTGAAATCGTATTTGGTTATAATTATTAATTAATATATTATAACATTGTTGATAAGTACTAGAAAATGAAAAAAGAAAAGGGAAAACAACTTTCAACCGTTTTCTAATTCCTTCACAAAAACCATTTTCACTATTTTTTGTTTTCATTTTCGTTTTCAAAATATTTGCTAAACAAACACGATTTGCGGGCTGTTTTTATTTTCGTGCCTCAAAAGACGTGCAAAAACGTTTTAAAAAACAATAAAAAACCAATTCCAAACGCACCATTTGATTTGCAATTTTGGTTTTGGATTATGACCTTTTTTTTCCTTCCTCTTTTGGGATATAGTATTGAGAGCAGAAGCCCTATCTCGTGGCTCGTGGATGGGCCTCGAACAATGTATCACAACTTCTCTGAGTCCTTTTGTGAAATTAAATTAAGTATGACGATATACAACTCGTCGAACGCTATTGCATCTGTCCACATAAACACTCTTGACTCGAGTGGCAATTCGAGTGACGCTACTTCTGATCAATCTGCAACATCTTCTAGCAACCAAGTAGGTTGGCACGATGTCTCACTAGTTACTGACATTAAAGTCACATCTGATGTCCTTGGAGCTCGATTTGGAAAGCCCCCAACTCTCGATTCTGTTTCTCCATTCATTTGGTCTGCGTCAAGTTCTACAAGAGTCCTAATCGAGCCTATGACCGCAGTTGAAATTCCTCTTAAGATTTGTGTGTTCTCTCCCGGGACATATGATCTCTCAAACTATTTGTTGCATTGGAATCTTGTACCTCCCAACGGCAAACAGAATCTTGATGAGGGAATAAGGCAGTCTTCGGGTACATGCCAGGGGTACCTCTATTATCTTACTGTGCTTCAATCAGCTTGAAGTTTTACTCATACACGTTGGTTTGCTTCTCCATTTTTAGAATACAAATGTTAAGAGTAATGTATCTTTTTTGTTACTGTGGCCTGTAAATTATTATGTGCAAGAATTATGAAAAGGCTTAGCGAAAGTAGGTGATTTTTTTTTCCTCAAAGGAAAAATAAGAGCAGTGAATATGAATTCAAGTCGTTTCCGAACCTTTGTACACCGATTTTTGATAGATTTGATTTTTCCGTTCTATAATTCGCAACTGTTAACACGTTTTTCTATCTTCTAAACACAACTTGTCGAATGAGAAATTATGGTTTCATTAAATATTAATGCCTGTTATTTGTGGCTCAAAAAAGTGCCACACTAGCTCAACTTTTTGTTAGTTTTTTGACAAGTGTCTTTGCTTGTTGCTCAAGGCTACCAAAGGCTGCCCAAATGCTGACTAACCTAGCATATAAGCTTGGCTCCCACGCTTTTGGCCTTATAAAAGGGGGGCAATGCTACCATTTGATGCATCCCAAATTTGTGAGCATATGTGAGTGTAGTTATTCTCTTTGTTCATTTTGTGAGAGCAATTTTGGGACTTTTTGGGTTTGCGTTTTGAGAACGACTCCTTTTGTAATTTCCTTGGTTCTTTGCTAGTGAAAATTTCTCGTCCAGCCCGTGGACTTAGATTGAAAGCCGAGCCACATTAATTTCTGTCATTTTTTATTTATTCTATTACTTATTTTGTTTAAAAATTCATTATATTTTTGGCAGAATTCTGTAACAAACTGGTATCTTCTTTAATTTGTGGGCTAATTTTAAATTCACTCTATTCGAGTGGATTGAGTGTCTGTCTTTAAATTTTGTGGTGTTTCTGCTAAATTTATTTTGATTTTTTTTTTCTGTTATAGCGACAAAATTTGCAATTGAGAATCAAAAACACCATCACACGATTATATGATCAAGATAAAGATTTAACCGAGAAAAACTATTGAACTCAAACTCATCACACTATTATATGATTAAGATAAAGATTTAACCGTAAAAAACTGTTGAACTCAAAACTCTTCTCATTTAAAAAAAAAATGATTGTTAGGAAAAAAAAGGAAAAAAAAAAAGAAGAGAGAGACTCAATTCTTCTCTCCCGGCGTAAACGTAGGGCCCGTTTAGTTCACTGATTCGAGTTTAGATGTAACTTTATGTGACTTTTTTATTATAACAAAAAAGTTAAATGTGACTGTTTCTGAAAGCTTTTTACTGTAGCAAAACTCAAATTTTAAACTCAAATCGGTGAAATAAACGGCCCGCAATCAATATGTAATCACGCCTGAGAAAACTGAAAAGGGAAGTTTTTCTATTTAAACATTTTTGAAAAGTATTCGTGTGTTTTTTCCCTCTCTTTCGTTCACTTTCCTAGAAAGTTGAAGGCCTCGTTCATTTTACCGATTCAAGTTTAAAATTTGAGTTTTACTACAGTAAAAAGCTCTAAGAAATAATCACATCTAACTTTTTTGCTACAGTAAAAAGCTCACACATAAAGTTACATTTCAACTCGAATTAAAAACTCGAATCAGCGAACTAAACGGGGATGACATTGGTAGACGAGTTGGGACCAGCCTTTTATCCCGGTGAATAATGTTTCCCTGATTAGGACGGACAAGATTCGAACGTGCAGTCTTCAGGTCATGAGCCTCATGAGTCGACGAATTCCTCTACCCCGCTTCTTCCCCTTCTCTCTCTCTCTCTCTCCCCTCATCAAAGCCCCCCAACTAGTGTTGGAACTTCGGGTTGGCGGGCCGGCCCGAAGCCTGAATTTTTCGGGCTCGGGCGGGCTGGCCCAATTGCCGACCCGTCCAAGCTTTATTTTCGGGCTCGGGCTCGGGCAACCCGAATTTAGAATTAACTCCGGAGCCCGCCACCGTGTAGTCGCCGTTTACCGCCGTCCGCCGGATTTTTTTTGAATTTTTCCGACCAAGCCCGAATTGCCTGACCCAAAGAATGCTAAAAAAAAGGTGAAATTTTGACTGTTTGAGCCCAACCCGAATTGAAGTCCGAAAGCCCAAAATGCCCGATTTACCCATCCAACGGCTAGTGTTTTGAAATTTTGACTGTTTGAGCCCAACCCGAATTGAAGTCCGAAAGCCCAAAATGCCCGATTTACCCATCCAACGGCTAGTGTTTTGAATTTCGGCCCGAACCCGCCCGAAAACCCGAATGCCCGAGGTGCCCGAATGGCCCGTCCAACGGCTAGTTTTTTAAATTTTCGCCCGAACCCGACCCGCCGAATCAAAAATAGTTGTTGCATCCCGTTTTTTTGAAAAAATATCAATTTTTTAACCCCAAAATTTCCCTATAAATACCCCCCATCCCCCACACATTTTTCTCACTCAAACTCTCTCAATCCCTCTCAATTTCTCTCAATCTCTCTCAATCTCTCTCACAATTTTTCTAAAAACTATCACATTGTCCTAAAGCTCTCTCTCTCTCAAATCGCTCTTATTTTTTTTTTATAATAGATCCTTTTGGTTATAGTGGTATTCCCGTTGATGCCCAACATAACGTAGAAGAAGGACAATTTCCCACAATGAGTTTGTTACGCAGGAATCTACTAATCCGAGCCTTGGTGGACGTACTGGAGGTCGTGGTTGTAATAGTGGTGGGTGTGGAGTAGCGGCGAGTGCAAGTGCGACTGCGTCTGCGTTGGCAAGTGTTGCAACCTCCAGGAGCAAATGCAAGCGTACCTCGACAGTTTGGGATCACTTCGACATAATTGATGAGATGGATAATGAAGGTAACACTAAACATATAGCTTAGTGTAAATATTATTTATCTAAATTACAAGGTGACACTATTCACGACACCACACACTTGAGACGACACTCCGAAAAGTGTGTTCAAAAGCTTAACTAATCCGGCGGACCCAAACTCCGCCAAACAGAATTATCTTTTGATTGCGCAATCGGTGGTCTAACCACTTGGAAATACGATCCACAAGTAGATCGTATGGAAGTTGTGCGAATGATAGCTGCCTGCTTTAGATCAACCACTTAGTTTTGTAGAGCATCCTAATTGGCAATGATATATTAAGGTTGTACATATCCTAATGCACAGTTCACTTCAAAAACTACTCTTAGAAAAGATTTATTAAAATTATTTAAAAAAGAAAAAGAAGCATTAATAAACCTTTTACACTCGACTAGCGGGTGCGTTGCATTAACGACAAATATTTGGTCTGCCGTTGCCAATAAAGATTATTTAGCTGTAACTGGACATTACTTTAAAAGATTTGATTTAGATAAGAGAATATTAGGTTTAAATGTGTTCTAGGATCACATAGCGCGGATTTAATATATAACACAATTTTAAATGTAATTAATGAATTTACATTAAGAGATAAAGTAATGGCTATAACATTAGATAATACTAGTGCCAATACAAAAGCAATTGAATTCTTTGAAAATGATTTAAGTCTATTCGGTGACGGTACTATTTTCCACCAACGTTGTGCATGTCACGTAATCAATTTAATAGTTAGGACATATAGATGAATTTGATTGGCAAATTGCCAAAATTTTGTATCAATTTTTAGGTAGGTTTCATGAAGTTACTCTAAAACTTAGTGGAACATACTACCTAACATTACCTTTAGCTTTAGGAGAACTTTTAAGAATTAGTATTTTATTTAGCAAATATAGGGAGGATCCAATCTTAGGAGTTCATATTCATTCTATGGAAAAGAAATTTAAAAAATATTGGTCTAAGTTGCCTTTGTTATACGGTTTAGGTACAATTTTTGATCATAGATTAAAATTAGACGGATTAGAAAGTGGTTTAGAAAACTTAGGTGAATTTTTAGGCATCACTTGTACGGACCAATTTTCAATAATAAAGGCAAAAATATATGAGATCTATAGTAAATATGAGATTAGGTTTAGAAGCACAAACTCTAGAGTACAGGAACCGCAACAACAGGATGAAAACCCACATTCATTCTTGAATTCGGGTTAAAGAAGAAGAAGAAGACAACTCAAACAGAAGCTGGGAGTGGAAGTGGATCTTCATCAACAAGTGGCAGTGGCGGCGGCAGTTTCAACGAGCTTATGGCGTACCTCAGTGAAGGTTTAGTAGTCGACGGTACTAGAGAATCATTTGACTTAGTTCAATGGTGGAGGGCACGGGTATTAACTTGGCTAATCCTAACTTGATTGACAATGGATATATTTTCAATCCCAGCGTCCACTATTTCATCCGAACAAGCCTTCAGTACGACAGGAAGAATGCTTGAGGAACGCCTGAATGCATTGCAAAGGGACATTGTTGAAGCCTTAGTCTGCATTAAGGATTGGGATCGGGCCGATCAACGTCTACAGGATACAATTTCGCTGGCAAGCCAAGAATGGATCGATGAATTTAATCGATTAACATTTAATTTTGAAGACGATCCTTCAGCTTCAAATTAAATTGTAAATTTGTAATTTGTAAATATGTATTTACTTTTGACTTGTATTTGTAATTGTATAACTTTGTAAGTTTGTAAAATATGTAATTCGTCACAAAATGATTGCACTCTTTTTTTCTTGCCAAGTTTTTATCCTAGTTGGGTTTTTTCTTGGTAAGGTTTTTAACGAGGCAATCATGAATTATAAATTTAAAAATTAATAAAGAAATAATTTTTTTATATAGTTCGTGTGTTCATTTTAAATTTCAAATTAATACATATATATATATATCAAAATTTTAACACAAAATAACTTAATATTAAAAAAAATTTTAAAAATTCAGGCTACTCGGGCGGCCTAATACAAGCCTGCGGCCCGTTCAAGGTAATTTTCGGGCTGAGGCAAGCAGCCCGAATTTTTTGGACGGGTCGGGCTCGGGCAAAAACTCAGTATTTTTAGGTGGTCGCGGGTGACCCGTCCAAAATTCCAGCACTACCCCCAACAACTCTCCAATCTCCATTCATTTCTCATTCAGTTCTTCCCTTTTGATCCAACCATCGAATGAATCGATTCTGGTATTCTTCTTCTTCCTGTTTCCGCAATGAACGACTTGTTCTCCAGGTTCCAGAACGAGGATGCCTCGCCGGACCACCACGTGATCGAGATGTCCTCCGCCTCCTCGGCGGCGGTTGCCACCGGCGGAGTCAACCTCGACAAGTTCTTCGAAGATGTGGAGTCCTTCAAGGACGAGCTCAAGGAAATGGAGATGAGTGCCTCAACGCGTCTCACCAGCAGAGCAAGACTCTCCACAACGCCAAGGC